AAGCAGTGGTATCAACGCAGAGTACTCCTAAAAGCGCCCAAAAGCTCCCAAAAGCGCCCTTAAGCTTTCAAAAAGCGCTCAAAAGCGCCGAAATTTCTCTAATCTCTCTCTTCTCTCTTCAGACGAGAAAAGGAAGAGAGTTAGAGAAATTTCTGCGTTTTTGAGCGCCTTTGAGCGAAGTCTGGCCGGGGCCAAAAACATATGTCAAGAGGCAAACCCTCTAGGAGAAGTGATCCGAAAAACCAAATAGCAAAGCATGAAATTCTAGATCAAAAACTAATAATATATACTGATGAAATCGCCCATTCTGCAAAGCGCGATTTTGTAAACAAAGGAGGATGAACGAAGAAATCTTGGACAAAAAATCAGCAACAAGGAAATAATGATTTCCAAAAAACGAACAGATAAACTGTGAGAAAATCTTAACTTAGTGGTGTTTGATGATGAGGTAGCCAGACTAGACGGACAACAGCACGATTCAAACCCGGAATCGGTCGTTAGAGGGCTTAGCCGGTCCATATCAGTGCAAAGCACCGAACATCGTCCTTATTCGGTCTGAATAAGGCATTTCTACATCCGTTAGAAGTTTGCTGACGAAAGCAAGATGTAGAATAGCGTTAGTCGTTGGCTACTTTTTTGCTCTTTCCTTCGCGTGCGAACAAAGACACAGAATAAAAGCACAAAGAAGGACAAAGCTAATGTGCAGAAAAAAACACGAATGAAGAAAAAGACAGGAAGAGCATATAGCGTAGATTATAGAGAAAGCTGCTTTCACAGCTTGATCGACCGTTCTACTCGAAAGAGGGGAGCTAAGGCAGGCTTCGGACTACGCTCCATCCCGCCGGAACCCGCCCAAAACCGCCGAATGAGCATAAGAAACAGTGAAAATGCTTAAAAATTGTCTTCTTGAAGCACACGTAAGGTGACGAACGGTTGTACAATGACATATCTGTTACATACAGTTGAACTGCATTTCGGCTGCATGTACATCTATCTAGGAGGGTTCATGTGTCCCCTTATAGCCCTCAAAGTGAAGGTCACCAGAGTACGTGGCTCTATGTATCGAGGGTATGCCTGCAGAGCAAGCACACTATGTTGAGTGGAAAATCTACTCGACTGTATAACAGTTTCGTGCTTTTCATTCGGGAAAGAAGCACATAAATTTTTTAGCTAAAGATAGAGAAGAACCCTTGAGTTCAGCGACTGATTTAGAACTGAGCGAGATCAATGAACAAAAGCACTCTCAAAATGTAGATCTTCTCATACTCAGGATTGTTGTTTTTGCATAGAATGAACATCGAAGAACAATCTGCTATAAATGTTCTAAAGAAATCTATGATTGCTAAAGTATTTATTATTTCGATAACGGTTGCAGCAACTGCGGTAATCATTGCTTATCAAATGGAAAGCGTAAGACTGACTGCTCAAACCACATTGGAGCTAATTGAGCAAACTAAGACGCGAAATTTGTATTTCACGTCTTGAATGCCCAATATGCCCAATGTCCGTTAACATGCTAAAGCTTGCGTCATCTATAAGATTGGAATGACAGTTCTCGGACATTGCATTGCGAAAAAAGTTTTTGTTTTCATGTAAACACTGATTGGGAAAAGCAATCCCTGCAAAAAAATGGTAAGCATAAGTATAATATTATCAAAACTTTCTGCGAGATTCCAGGCGAAAATTCGAAAGCATGTTATTTCAATATAATCCAGACCTTCTATTAACGCTATGGAACCCTCACAAACTTCAGATTATGATAGCATACATTTGCTTACATACTCAAAGACTGCACGAGATTCGAGCTTGGATAACAAGAAAAACTACGTGTTTGAATAGCGGCAAAGTCCGCCCTCTTGATCTTACAAGGAAAGGATACGTGCTCAAAGTTAAGAATCTATGTGATTTGTATTTGTCTTATAGAGCATAAGACGCCAATTCTGAATCTGTTTTCAGATCTGC